ACATTCGCTGTTAATTTTCGTATCGTGCGTGATAAAACCCCTTTGGAACGTCAACTGCTGCGTGCATGTCATAAAGAATTTCATCAGAGCATTTCTAATGGAGAGAAAGATTTGAAAATTGTTTATAAGAATGATATGCCTGGCATTTATTCGTCAGGGTTAAAAAACTGGATAGCGGATCGACATTCAAATCATCGCCACTCCTAGAAAATTCATCTTCTAAATTTTTTGTTAATGGATTCTGTCAGAATTGCCGTGTTCTCCGTACTAAAATTGATATTAGCTTCGATGCGAAGCTGAGAAGGTATTGGTTTTACTAGGTTTTTTTTTTTTGTGTCTGTTACCACTTTTTCTCAGCTATCACCGAACCGATTTCTTTCAATGATACGTCAAAAGATCACAAATCGTATCTAGTCGAAGACATTACCCTCAAAAATTGAAAAAATTTCCCTCGTTTCCCGTAAATGGGAGAAATCTCTAAAAAAAAGTTACAAATTTGAAAATCGCTAATTTTCAAAAAATTTTCGATTTTTTTTACTTAAAATTACTATAACTTTTTCAAAAATGACCGAATCAATATAATTTTTTTATATAGATGCATGATATCATTACCTTTCATTTGGTATATTTTTTTTATAAATCTGACCCTTTACCTGCCCACAGAGAGGGATTTAAAATGACAACTTTTTCAACTTGACTTTTGAAAATGTTCCGAAAAGTCTGACACTTTTATATATAAATTAAAGCTAATGTAATATACTCAATCATAGAAAAATAAAATTTCGGACTTTATTTTATCTTCACGGTGAAAATGGCTACCAAATGCTATTTTTGTGTGAAAATTCTCGATTTTATTTTTTATATTTTTAACATGTAGTTAATAATGTATCAGAATGTATGTGTGCCTATTTGATAATTTCAAAATTAGTACCCCTACTCTTTTTATTAATAAATCCAAAAAAAACAGCATTCCCTCTAAATTCTTTTTGTTTAAATTAGTTTAAATTATACCTAACCTATAGTTTAATTTATAGGTAAAATTAATTTAAACCTTGTATGTATATTCCGTAATCCCACATAGCAATGAAATATTTCTTAAGTATTTATAGAATATTTCTTTTTGATATTAAAATATTCCTATAATATAACCAAAATATTTTTAAATATTTTTAGAATATACTTTGGTAGCGAATATTATATTCTTACAATGTATTAAAGGTATATGTCTAAAATATTATAAAAAAAATATTTTGACAATATTGGCAAGATGTTTTATGAATATATTAAAAAAACGCATAAAATCAAACTGTTTTGCGGAAATGCTCATACTACAAGTGCTAGAGACACGCGCGTTATGTTGTATCTATAAAACGAAACAACCTTATTTGTCCTAACTTATAGTAATAAAAGTTCAATAATAACGCAAATGTAATTATTAAAGATATAATCAAACAATGTAAAACATACAAAATAAAGATACACTTAAAACACAATAAACCAATACACAAAATGAAAACTTAATGTTATAAACGTACTACGCGAAAAGAGATTACCTTTGGTACTCCCGAAGTCTTCTCTCCTCTTTAATTCATTCCATTTTGTCTTATATACTAAATTATTTTCTTTTTCTTTTTTTTACTAAATTCATAATACAATCATTTTCAAAAATGTTTATAAATATTTACTTCCTGGTCTAGTAACAATAATTCAGGGAATTACAATTAACCCAAACATTACTAAAAATATTTTACTTCTAGCTTTACAAATAAAAGACTATATTATATTTTGTAATAATAGATCAAGAAATTACAATTAAACCAAACATTACAAAAATGTTTTACTTTCAGTTTTACAAAATAATGACCTATATCAGCGGTTCTTAACCTGTGGTCCGCGGCATCTTTTCTTAATTACACCGATGACAATGTGGAATTCGATACAATTAAGTATCTAAACATTCTAAACCTAATAATTTTATTACTAATATTTATTTATCAGATTTTCTTGTTCGTACGAATTGTACAGGCATACAGCACTTTAGTCGGCAGTCGTATATTTATCACCAATTATTGCAGTTGATCAATTTTATACCTACATAATTTACGATTAATACGTGATATTTTTTCAAATCATCTTAAAGACATTTAAGTTAAAATGAAACATTGGCTAAATATAAAAAGGAAAAATTCTGACGTTGATGATGAAAAGACTCTGTGTATGAAAAAAGAAAAGTCAATAAAACTTCGTAAGTATGATAGTAATTATTTATCNTCAATAAAACTTCGTAAGTATGATAGTAATTATTTATCAATGGGTTTCACGTGCAACGGATCTGAAGAAGAACCAAAACCTCAATGTGTGATATGTTTTGAGGTATTATCAAACGAGGCTTTAAAACCATCAAAACTAAAAAGACACCTTGAAACTAAGCATAAAGAACATGCCACGAAATCCTTTGATTTTTTTAAAAATAAAGAGCAAAAATTGAGAAAAAATATGAAATTGATAAAAAAAACTGCAACTGATTGTACAAATGAAAGCGCCGTAAAAGCATCGTTTGCAGTTTCTTTACTTATTGGGAAATCAGGGAAACTTTACATGATTGCAGAAGACTTGATATTACCTGCTGAAAATGCTATGGTCTCTGCAATGATCGGCGAAGAAGCTGCAAGTAGCTTAAATAAAATTGCATTGTCAAATGATACAATAAAAAAACGAATTGATGGTTTATCAGGAAATATTAAAGAACAGTTGTTGAGAAGAATTAATAAAAGTGACTACTTTAGTCTCCAACTTGATGAAAGTACCGATATAACTAATAAATCAGTATTACTGTGTTATGTAAGATACGAATACGAAAATGTCATTTCCGAAGACATTTTATTCGTAACCACTTTGGTACACACAACAGCAGAGGAAATATTTTGTAAAATTAATGAATTTATTATAGCTAATGAAATTGAATGGACTAAATGTATAGAAGTTAGTACAGATGGTGCTCGTTCAATGTCAGGAAAATTTACTGGATTAATTGCACAAATTAGATAAATCATACCATCAGTCACATGGCATCATTGTTTCATTCATCGCGAAGCCATAGTTTCCAAAATTCTCGATTTTATAATTTACATCTTTTACTTTAAAGTGCTATAACTTTTTAAAAAATGTATGGATCAATATAATTTTTTCATGAGAAATAGTATTTATATACATCTTTCATTCAACATACTTTTTTTTTAAATCAGACCATTTCCCTATATACGGGGGTGCTTAAAATATGAAAAATGCATATAGAAAGTAGAACTTTTTCAACTTAACTTTTGAAAGTGTTCCGGAAAGTCTGACACTTTTATATATATCATAAATTAAAGATAATGTAATATACTTTATTATGAAAAAGAAAATTTTGACCTCTGGACTTGTCTTCGTGGTGAAAAAAGACATCAAAGTTAATAAAAAATTACGATTTTTGTAAAATAATTTTTTTTTATATTTTTAACTTAATAATGTTATAACTTTTCGGAAAATATATGGATCACTAAATTTTTTTTTTATAGATGCTTGATGTCTTTACCTATTATTTAGCATATAATTTTTGTAAATCTGACACTTAACCTGCCCCCAGGGGGGGATTTAAAATGACAACTTTTTCACAAAAAATTTACTTTTTCAACTTAACTTTTTAAAGTGTTCCGGAAGATTTGACACTTTTTTATGTATCTTATATTAAAGATTTGTATGTATGTAATGTAATTTATTATGGAAAAAAAAATTTTGACCTCTGGACTTGTCTTCATGGTGAAAATGGCTACCGAATTCTATTTTTGTGTGAAAATTCTCGATTTTATTTTTTACATTTTTAACTTTATAATGCTATAACTTATTGAAAAGTGTTGATCCATATCAACACAATTTTTTTATGAAAAATAATATTTTTTTATAATCACTTTTTCATTCGACATACTTTATTTTAATCAGGATATTAATAAGGAACTAGCAGATCATGTAGCTTTTGGAATAATACACCAATTTTTTTAAATTATACACTATCTAAAGATTTGCATCGAAGCCTTTTATTTTGATAGTGATTTTAATCACTATAAGATATCATTATACAAATCCAAGTATGCCACGTCACCACTGTGCCGCGACCCCCCTGTGCTGGGTTTTTTTAACTGAAAAGCTATCGAATTTTTGATTGGATGAAAATACTAAAAGTTTAGCCAATTTGTAAGTTATGGTATTTAAAATCGATATAACAGGTCTCATTTTAAAGGGGCTTATGTATTTTTGATAAAGCAAATATTTTAAGCAATGGAGGTGGTTTGATATTGGGAAAAAACGGTAGATATTTTTTGTTATAAAATAGGTGGAGGGCGGTGTAGCGTAGGTTTTGTGTTTATAAGTCAGTCGTAAACCGGACAGCGAATGATGAGTCCGGCGCACCTACGCACACCTATAGTTTTATTCGTATATGAAATGTAAAAGCTATATAGAAAAAATACAATCCATATTATAAACTAAAATAAAGTGTTTTTAGTCAAAAATTTAAAATACCGTAAGCTATCGACTAGAGGTTACTTCAATTACTCTTCAATTATTTATGTTGAATTATTCACAACGTTTGTAGCCTCTCTTTTCATTTTACTTTATGGATTCTTTTCAATTTATTTGTAAGGAAAACTTTTAAAACATATTTTATTTTGTGATATTTATTGTTTGAAATAAATATTATTGTAATTATTATCAACAATATTACATTTCACATAAAAAAAATAAAAAACGGCAGCATAGTAGGGTTGTACGTGGACGTGGATAAGACCAGTTAAGATGATATCCCCTAGTGATTAAAGTCACTATTATAAGAAACGCTTCGATACAAATCTGTAGATATTGTTTAATTCTAATAATTTGGTGAATATCTGAGGAAATATTAAACAAGAAAAATGTTTTTTTTTTTATTTTAATTAAAAAACTCTCATAAATGCTCACTTTTTTAGGGCGTGCTCGAAGGTTATAATTGTACAATTTTCGCTTATGGACAAACAGGATGTGGTAAAAGTTTTTCTATGCAAGGAGTCAACATACCAAGTAATCAAAGAGGAATAATTCCTAGGGCTTTTGAACATGTCTTTGAGGCAATTTCAGTAACAGATGATGTAAAATTCTTAGTACTTGCTTCATTCATTGAGATCTACAATGAAGAAGTTAGAGATCTTTTAAGCTCAGACACAAAAAAACGATTGCAGCTCAAAGAAAGCTCAGAAAGAGAAATTTATGTGAATGGTGATTAGTAAAAATATAACATTATCAATGTTTGAATTTTTTTTTAAAAAACATACCAAAAGTAGTATAATTATTTTAAGCATTACTAAAATTTTATTTCTCTCTGAGTATTTATAAGATAATTATGGCAATTTTTCATACAAAATTTCTATAACTGCCAATTTCAAAATTATAAGTTTTTAAAACAATTTTACTAATAAAAAAAAACGTTTTTTTTACAAATTATCAGGAAAATTTCTTCAACTAGTTATAATTCGGGTTTTTTTTATTTAATTTTTTGAAATATTGGTCTATTAAAATTAAATATTAGTGATAACTGATTAAATTGGAGAATATGTTATAATAGCATGGTATATTAATAATTTTTCAACTTGGTATCAGTGCTATAAGTGTACTTATTTTAGGAATTATCCGTTAAATTTTTTTAAAAAAAGTTTCTTGTAAGGGTTCAATATACTATCCTTCCATTTCACTCCGTTAGATCATCACTGGGATTAGTAATTCAAACTTGGTTTTTTACATCTTCCAATTTTAAATAAATTTATTATACATCCCAAAAAAAATTTTATTCTAGAACTTTCACATCATGCTGTACATAATGTGATGGAATGTCAAGAACTAATGACACTAGGATGTAAAAATAGGGTTACTGGTGATACAATGATGAACTCCGATTCTTCTAGAAGTCATTCTATTTTTACATTATCAGTTGAAATGATGTCAGTAACAAATGCTACCGAAGAAATTAAATCAATTAAACGAGGTAAACTAAGTTTAGTTGATTTAGCAGGCAGTGAGCGACAAGCAAAAACTGGTGCTTCTGGAAATCGTCTCAAAGAAGCTACCAAAATAAATCTCTCTTTATCAGCACTCGGTAATGTTATTTCCGCTTTAGTTGACGGAAAGGCGAAACATATTCCATATAGAGACTCTAAACTCACTCGATTACTACAAGTAAACTATACTTTAAGTTAAATTAATTGTAAAGCCTAATTTTTAGATTTTTTATCTTATTCATAAGAAATCTAATTATAAAGTAGAAAAAAGATGAAACTGAGAATATTTTTAACCTCTATTTTAATCAAAGGAAATTACTATTGAAGAAAGAATGATAAAACTTCTAACAAATTATTACTTCTGTATAAGATCGTTAAATTCAAACACTACTAAAAAATAAATAAACGGCATTTTTACTATTTGAATAAGAGATTTCATAAAGAATCTTGATTTATGATTTACACTTTCTTTTTTTCAAAGCCAAAATATTAAACAAAACTGTTAAAAAGTGGAAAGAAGCGTCTGGTGCGTTATGTGATAAAATAATTCTAATGATGCTGAAAGGTAAATTCTATTAGACTGTAGTGAAACTAGCTATGATGAATGGTTCAGAGAGTTGGGTGGATGACAAGAAAGTAAAGCAGAGAATGAGTGTAGTAGTGATGAGAATGTATGGATGGATGAGTGATGTGACTAGAGAAGATAGGATAAGGAATGAACATATAAGAGGGAGTATAGGTGATTAAATAGAATTAGATGGTTTGATCATATTATGAAGAGAGAACAATCGGAAGCTGTAATAACAGTTATAGAAATTAATGTTGAAGGAAGAAGAGGTAGAGGAAGACTATAAAAGAGACAGAGGATGTTATTGAATGCGATATGAGGGTGGATGATGTAGGAGATCGTGTCAAGTAGAAGTTTAGGATAAAAGTAGCTGACCCCAAGTAGTTGGGATTAAGGCAAGGTAAACGAAAAAGACATATGTCGACCTCACTCTTCGACCTGTATAGTAATAAAAATGTTAATAAATTCCGAAATAGGGGTTCAAGAATTGTTATCGACCAGTCATTTTCTAAGTTAGGTCATTATATAATGAATAAAATAGTTAATTTCTATTTAAAAAAAAAAAGTGGCTACTTTTATAAGGTATAAGGGATGAAAATACTTCATGATCAATAAATTTAGAAAAACAAAACTAAAAGTAATCAATAAATGATCATTAATATTAATTCTATTTTTCGATTAATTAAATTATTTAAAATAAAATAATTACCCTATATACCAAATATAATATTTTAGTGTAAACTTTCGTTAAGATTGACATTATGAAAGTTATGGTATTTATATAAGAACCTCCTTGAATCATAGTTGGATCTAGTTGAATCCAACAGGATGAACCCACTACAATGACAGTCTGTTTCACTTATAATACCAACATAAAAAATCTACAATTTTTTTTAGTTTATTTTTTACGTGTAGTAATAATAATTGCGCATGCTTAGAAATAAACCCAGCTATCAATGGATCAATTAAATAAAAAATAGCGTATACAAATTTAGACATAGACTCATTAAATGAACTTAAGACATATTATACAAATATCATTCAAATTATGATCAAAAATGTGCTGATTCAACCAGTATTTAATATTTTTTTAAGGAATCTTCTATAATCATTTTGTTAAAACTTTTAATAGGATTCTCTTGGTGGTAACACAAAGACTTTGATGGTTGCATGTCTTTCACCTGCTGATAGTAATTATGATGAAACTTTATCCACGCTGAGGTACGCCAATCGTGCAAAAAATATTTGTAATGATCCTCGTGTCAATGAAGATCCTAAAGATACAATGTTACGGCAGTATCAAGAACAAATAAAAAAACTGAAACATTTATTAGAATCATCCAACACACGGTTACCAAGTAGTAGTATAAAGGATTTTTCGTATAAAGATAAACTTCGTAATGATTATCAAGAAGAGATTACAAAATTAAAAGAAAAATATCAAGAAGAATATAATTCTAAATGTCAAATGCAGGCAAATTTGAAAACATTAAAAGAAAAATATGAGAAAAATTTAGCTAATATTCATTTAGAGGTAAAAATATATATAATAATTCTTACACAAAATAGTTATTTTATTAATTATTCAAAGTATTATATGAGTTTAGATTGTTCAAAAATAAATTGGTATTTGATATAATATAAAATAAGAATATTCACTGGGTTGGTATTATTTGAGGCTATAACTTTTATTGTAAAATGACCAAATGCTAAAATATTTGACAGAAACATTCTTAAAGATTTTACTTTTTTAGACAATAATTTTTCGTACAATGTATTGTATATTGATGACGATTTTAATTTAGTGAAAAGTTTTTTAAATTATGTACAACGATGCTTATTTGGCTAGTTAATAAATTACTAGAACCATATTTTTTGACCTTACACTAACGTACCATATTGTTAACCACAATAAACTATTACATATTATAAAAGTATACTACTACACCGGGTAATGGTTGTACAGAATGGGAGAGTAAAACAGCCAATTTTCAAGAATAAATTATAAAATAAAAAAAAAACGAATTAAAATTAAATATTATTTATTATTAAAAGAACATAACTTGTCATTTATTTTTTAAAAATAATGTCCTCGAGATGATGTCCAGGTCTTTTCAAGCACTCTTCTAGCCTAATTCTTATATTTTCCATTACATGATGCATTACTTCCAAAGGTCTACTGGAAATTTCTTCTTTATTTTTGGTTTTTAATTTATCAATATTTTAAGGTTTCTATGCATTGACTTTATTTTTTTAATATTCCTACGAAAAAAAGTCTCATACTGGTAAATCAGGTGATCGATGTGGCTAATGAATATCACCACTTTTGGAAATTAATGCAATTTCCAAAAATTTGTTGAATATCATTTATTAATACTCGAACCATGTGAGATATCGCGCCATCATCTTGTTGGGACCTAAAGTTATCATTTTGGGGAAAATTTATTAGTTCACCGATCGAAAATAATTGATCGTATTGATATAACGATTTGAATTTACAGTTGTTGTTCGTCCTTATGTAAAACGAGGGCCAATGATGCTATAATGTGAAATTGCACACAATACTGTTACTCGATCGCTGTGTTAAGGATTTTCTTCAGATCAATAATGAAAATTTTGCTTATTCAAAAAACCATTAAGATGAAAATGTGTTTCATCAGACATTCAAATATTATGAATAAAGTTTTCCTTATCGTCCATTCGGGTTAGCATTTCTCGACAAAAAATTCTGCGATTATAGAGATCTGCAGGTTTCAACTCTTAGGCAGCCATCTACACCTTATACAGATGAAATTTAAGGTCGCTATGTAAAATTCGACGTAGACTTCTACCAGAAAAATTTAATGATAGTGTATGTTTCATGCAGAATGCTTTAGATTCTTTATGAGAGTGGTCTCTTATAACAATGATGTTTTCAAGTGTGAGTATGGTTTTTTTCGTACTGTCTTCTTTTTAATGCTGAACTAGTTTCTTCAAACTTGGTTATCCATATTTTTATAGCCTTAGCCGATAGTACTGAATTATGGATTTTAAGATTAAAATGAAGACGAAATGAATAACTGTCATTATTTTAGTAAAACGATTTTATTGCATAACCACGATGTTCACCACTCCACTGTTCCATATTTACTAAATGACACGTATTCTTTGAACTAATAATATTTAGTAAGAATTCTTATCTTAATTATACTGAGAAAAATCTAATTTAACAATCGGCCGTTTCATAGATATTCAAAAGTTATGAAAAGTATCATAATCTATCCATTTCACCAATACTTTGGAATTTTTTCATTTAATAATCCTTTCTATGAGAAAATCATCTGGATATTTGATTAATTGTATTTCATTCTCATAAAATAACCATTAGATACACACCAATCTTCTAGCATATAAGTCGTCACCAGTGAGGTATAATTTACTTTTGCATTCAATCAGTTTGATATATAACCTTTAATAAATAAAGCTTTACAAATATATACACACACTTTTTGTCCTATTTTGATTTTAGCTTTAGATTTTAAAATTCATCTAAAATTAAATTTTCCGATAATGGATTCTCATTGACTTGTATTAGTATCATTTCAATCATTCAATGTTTGCTGTTATTATATTTTTCCATCAATAAGTCTAATATATTAATCCATTTTTGAGAACTTCAACAGTATTTTTACAGATACATTACAGCTAACTCACCACGCCAACAAATCCAATTTATTCACGATTCCAAACGGTCATGCAAAACATTTAAAAATAAATATAACTTCAGAGCATTTTTTTTAAAATACACGATTAAGGTTATGTTTATCTTGTTTGAATAGAAATAAATAATTGCTATGACACGGCCCGCGTCGCTTCGTTATACACGATGCCCCGCGACTCGTGCCACCTTTATCAGCCATCGCCCTACTATGAATATTTGACTGACCAACACCACGTGTTATACGCTACGGTGCAAAGTCCAGAAAATGCCGCACGGCCGACGACAACCCGCCGCAAATGGTGCGAGAGTCTTCCTCCCGTTGAAAAAAAAATAAAAAAATAAACAAACCGAAAAGATAAATACAGTAATAATAATCTTCGCATAATATCGCGGCACTTTCGCGGCACTAATCTTAGGCAATTAATACTGCCGGCGAACAAACCGTTTCAACGCTCCCCGTTCGAACCGCTAACCACCTGAGTATTGCCGCACAAACACGCCCGCGTAAAGTTACTACTCCCGCTGTGGAGCTGGAATTTGACAACGGCTTTGTGACGGCCTTACTTGACTCTCAAGCGCAAAAATCGTATGCCACTCGAGCAACAGCTCACAAAATTGGAAATGTACACAACGGGCAAACACCCCCAGTTAGGTTAGCTGACGGTCACACAACAGCACGGCCGGCACAGCTACCTTTATAACAAAAATTGCGGATCTACAAGTACAGTTCACAGCTGTTATCTTAGAGAATCTGTACTGTGACGTACTCCTGGGACATGACTTTCTAACAGAACAGGAAGTCTCCTGGGACTACGCTGCAGGTACAATTCACTTGGGCGCGACGCGATGCACTACAGCTTATTGGAAAGCGAGTACTCGACACACGCTACCCGATGTTATAGCAGGCGACCCACACACGCGCGAACTATCATCACAGATAGTGAAAAACTGCGCTACGTTTTTAATGACACGGTGGGACGCACAACACTTATTGAACACACATCACTCACTTTACTAGTGTCAGCCCGAGAACAGCACCACCATCCTTAGCATCAAACATGAAGGAGACATCGCAGCATCAACACAGTAGCGGCAGCAACAGTACAGTAGCAGCAACAACACAGTACCGGTAGCAACATCCAAATTAGCAGCGGTGAAACAGCGACCAGCGGAGAAACCCATGGAAAATGGAATACACGCACTCACCCCTTAGATCACCCACAGACAACGTGAGTTTGGCGACATTCACTGCTATACGTGATTGCCTTCCCGGCCATCATTAAGTAGACCGGCGGCTTGGCGTGGGGATATTTGACACGGCCCGCGTCGCTTCGTTATACACGATGCCCCGCGACTCGTGCCACCTTTATCAGCCGTCGCCCTACTATGAGTATTTGACTGACCAACACCGCGTGTTATACGCTACGGTGCAAAGTCCAGCAAATGCCGCACGGCCGACGACGACCCGCCGCAAATGGTTCGAGAGTCTTCCTCCCGTTGTGAAAAAAATAAACAAACCGAAAAGATAAACACAGTAATAATAATCTTCGCATAATATCGCGGCACTTTCGCTGGCGTCGACGACGCGATGTCCGGCGTAAACCTTGAACGGCAAAATGGTTAGCAGTGTTGTAGGCGATGGTGCGCGGGTGCGGTTCGGTTGGTCGGCGTTGTCGCTTTCACAACAGGAGGAAGACTCTCGCACCATTTGCGGCGGGTCGTCGTCGGCCGTGCGGCATTTTCTGGACTTTGCACCGTAGCGTATAACACGTGGTGTTGGTCAGTCAAATATTCATAATAGGGCGACGGCTGATAAAGGTGGCACGAGTCGCGGGGCATCGTGTATAACGAAGCGACGCGGGCCGTGTCAGCTATTATTCCTTAAAACATGCTTTGATATTCTAAATTGTAATAAATAAAAGGATAGCGGGCATTTTAATAAATAAAAGTAAGAGTGTCGGGACCGGACAGGAACAATAATGTAACAGAAGTAAAAAGATCTCGCAGTATGTATCTGGCCGGACGGACCGTACTTGGGCACTGCCGGAATATTATATATGTTTTAAGTATAAATGACGCATCACTAACTAATAACCTTGTAGATAGCAGTTATAACTAATAGTATATAATGATAAAAAATATATATTATATAAACAAATAAAAATAAAATAAAATAAAAAAAGGGCTCAAAACATTATGATTAATAAAAAAAAATACGATACCCAGTCCCGGATGGGACTCATCCTAAGATGAGGTTCTCGGCCCCAGAAATGGCCGAAACCTCACAAAATTAGTACATTTTAATAAAGAAAAAACTATCACATGCGAAAAATCGGCTACATGCACGTAGCTTCCCTATATACCACTTCGGTGGTTTATAGCGTCAATCTTGTTACACACTAGGATGAGACACACTGACGACGACAATCACGATTGGAAGAGTGTATCGGCCTAACAATTTATAGAACATAAAAAAATAAAATTATGGATCAATATGAAAATTATATAGACATTGACAATGGTGGCCAGTGTATGTGTCATATGGGGAACTATTATTAAATTGATAAAGAATATTGTATGTATAGCGTTCACTTTGACAGCAACAGTACAGTTTTCTGATTACACGACCGGATATAACGTACGCGCGCCAATTAGCAAAACAAAAACATTAAATATATCTATACCACAAAGAAATATACACCTCGTATACCTGTGGATTAACAGAAATAGTGATAAGTCATTTATGCAGTTTTTTAGGGTACGAGTAAACACTTTTGATACGTGAAAACAATTACTTTTATTAATACTAACTTACGATTTTGTGACACATGATAAACACATTCCTTTTCTAAAAAATTTAAAAACAATTTTGCAACCTATCAATGAAAATATTAATTGGGACATAATTATGAAACCATCAGATATAGAAAATACTAATAATATTAATTTATTAATAAAACATGGAATATTTAAAACTTATATGTTATATATATATATATAATTAAATACAAATTTTAGCTTCGATGCGAAGCGGAGAAGGTATTAATTTTACTATGATGTGTTTTTTATGTCTGTTGCCACTTTTTCTCAGCTCNTTTTTTTTTTTTTTTTATGTCTGTTGCCACTTTTTCTCAGCTCTCACTGGACCGATTTCTTTCAAAAATACATCAAAAGATCACAAATCGTATCTAGTTGAAAACATTACCCTTAAAAATTGAAAAAAAATCCCTCGTTCCCCGCAAATGGGGGAAATATCCAAAAAAATTACAAATTTAAAAATCGCTAATTTTCGAAATTTTTTCACTTTTTTTTCTTAAAACTTCCATAACTTTTTGAAAAATCAACAAATCAACATAATTTTTTTT